TTGTGTGAAAATATTGATCAATGATCAATGCCGGATGATACATCTAATCAGGAAGATGTCCGATCCGATTAATCTATCACAATAATTTTTATCAGTTATTTTTATTGTATCTTCTCTACATACGATAAATACAAACAATCTTATGCATCAAAAATTTGAAAAATACGAATAAGCTAATCAAATACGATCAAATGATCGATTGTATTCCGTAAAATATAAATTGAAAACCGGAAAATATAAATAAGTTAAATGATAACATTTAATCGATTTATCAAAAACGAACGAATTGAACTTTAAAAGAAGAAACCGCCAGGACAAGAACATATATCAAGCGGTAAACATATAATTGAATGTGATCAAAACGCAACAAACTATTTAAGAAAAAATGATCAAAGATTCAAAAAAAAGAAAAAAGAACGATTGGAAGGTGTATTTAATTCTTTTTACACTAAAATTCTAATTGAAAAATTTTGATATGGCAAAGAAACTAATAGAAGAATACATTTTATTAATTATACCATTTAAAAGAATACTTAATAACTTGAATTTAAAGAAAGAATTATTAAAGTAATGTGGTAGATAAAATTGAAAACGTTTTTAATTCAAATAATCAAACATCGAATGATCTAATAAAAAGTGAGAAATAAGTTTGTACATTTTTATTCATTGATATATCTAAACTACTATAAATATATTTAATGTATGGTTTGTTTTTTTCTTAATACAATGATAATGATGATATCAGTAATGATAATCACAATACAGCTAATGATAATAACAGCATGGATAATGATAGCAACGATTAAACAGATAGTGATAACAACTATATATAATAATTACGATGTGGATAATGATAATAACGATTTGGATAATAATAATAATGATGACAATATGAACAATGATGATGACAATGTAAATGATGATAATGATAATAAGAATAATGAATGATGATAATGACAGCAAGAATAATGATAATAATGATATGGGCTAATTTGTAAACATATTCAAATTTACAAGGAAAAAAAAAAGAAAATATCATTTTTGAGCATACTGAAGAATATAATTGAAAATGAAAAGTTTATTTCAAAAAGGCAACAAAGATAAAAAAAAAAGAAATGGATAATAATTAAGCTGAAATTGAGAAAAACAAGAAGAAATGACTGAAACGATGGTATTTCATTGATTGTATTGTAATAAAGTTAAATCAACCAACTAATCATTGTAAATAAGCATTAATTGATTAATTATTGTAAGAAAATAAACATTAATTGAAAGAGAAATAATGTTTAATTCAGCAAAAGCTAATTTCATTTTGACAAGTTTCCCTCGTGCTCAATATTAGTTTGTATGATTTAGAAGAATACCTTTGTAGAAATTTTTATAACATTTTATGCATCCCTAATACTTCTCAGAAAAACCATACACATACACCAATAATTCTAGAGAATGATTTAAATTAATTTATAAATTTCAATCAAGTATTTAATCCTGGGTGTAAGTCATTACTAATATTCTCCTTTGAGATAGCCGTATAACTAATTGAGGCCGCGTTAACTTTAATCATTTTTGATTTATGAATTGTTGAGGTTGGTTAAAATATGTGATGGTGTATATTTGTTTAATGGGTTCAAAGATTGGTTTCGCTGTGTTCGTTGATATTCTTTTCATTTACGATGAGGATGTTATAAGAATGGATAGGAAAATTTAGCAAATTTTAAAAAAATTGAGTACAACTTAGTCAGATACTTCTTAATTTAAAGTGGTACATTACAATTAAGTCCACCATTATTATTATTATTATTATTATTACAGTTCATCTTTACAACGAAGTTTGATTGTAATGATGAAGTTTAGAGTGACGTAATTAACTTGTTTTATTTGCTTAATTCGTGATTTATTATTAATGAAGATTTTGGCATATATCTCAGCATTTATCTGTTTCAAGTACTTCATCCATTACTAATGATGGATTTATCGATGACGGAAGATGATAATAAATTGGCTGGACACAGTGAGCCGATTAGTGCTATCGCTGTTTCGTTACATCCACTAGTCATAATGAATATATCGGAACATGTGACTCGAATAAGCGCACAGCGGAATGATGGAAAACCTTTCGAGGTGAAATTATAAACCATTTACTATATCTCGACAATTCCTCAATGTTTTTCTTATCTAACAGTATTATGTTGAAGATTATTTTGGCTGCAGGTTTTTGGTGCAATACTTGGAAAGCAATCTGGAAGGCATATTGAAATGATGAATAGCTTTGAAGTGAAATGGAATAATGAAGGAAAAGGTTATGCGGTTATTGATGCAGATTTTCTTTCTACAAGGGAGCAGCAATGTAAAGCCTTTTTATTTGGTCTACATCCATAAATTTACAGTATTTTGTTGTCTCCAGTTTATATATTTGATCCCTTTGTAGATTTGAACAAGATTTTTATCGTTGATGTTGTGTATGTTTGTTCCTTCACTGCTTTTCTTGGTGCTTTATCTGCATCTTGTACTTTTAATGTTATGTGAACAAAGTATTTCAATTTTAAATTTTTATTGGACTTTTTTTTTGATATATTTTTGGATCGTTATTTCTAGATCAGGAAGTGTTCCAAGACTTGGATTATGTTGGTTGGTATACTATTGGAGACACAACACCAACACAAGCAGATTGGAAGGTACATCAGCAATTCTCCGTAATGCATGAGTCACCAATTATGGTGAAGCTTGATCCAAAAGCACCACCGGGTAACAAGGTATGAATGTTAGATTCCTGTTCACCTTTCTGAACCATGTAATAAGTTTTTCCAACTTTCAAATTCAGCTAGCTTACGATTAACAATTGTTGTCCTGTATTCATTTCAAATCTGTAGGAAGCTGCGAAGAAGCATCATACTTTGCTTAAGAAATTAAAATAAGTATTTACCTTTTTGCAGTTACCAGTGGCAATCTATGAGTCTGTGTGCACTACCGGTTTATCAGCAAGCAGCCCAAGTTCAGTAGTATGGCATTCAGTTAATTGGTCATTAGCCAGTGAACAAGCCGAACGTATTGGAATTGAACACGTTGCTCAAATTTCAACTGTTTCAACTAACACTGTATCTTCCACAAATAAACAAATTGCAGGACAATTGGGTGCTATAAATATGCTGCAGTCACGGCTGGAACTTATTTATGATTATTTAGTAGTAAGTTAGAATAATTCTGATTGAAATGTGGCAATGCTTATTTTCAATAACATGTAGAAAAAGAAAGAGTGGCAGGGAACATAATTCTTACATTTAACTATTTTTCTGAAGAATATTCATTTTGTATTGCTGAAGTTATCGCATTACTGACTATCGTTTCACATTGATCTCGTACATTAAGCTTACTTACATTTCATTGCGCGTAGTGTATATTTAGAATAAAAAAAAAAAAAAAAAAAAGGCGGTCTCTAGAAAGTGGAATTGCTGTAAGGAATTATATGGGCATTGCTTCAGGCAGTTCGTAAGGGCGAATTACCACGTGATGAAGCTATTATACGTGAAATCGCTCAGTTGGTACGTCGAGTACCAGTTATGAGTTCGGACAAATTCTTACAGCAATACAAAAATGTAGGTTTTTACCTCGATAAAGGGCGTTCTCTTTTTTTTTTTTAAGTCGTTAAAAAGTATTTAGTGACTCAATTCATATTCTTGTTCGTACAATCTGGAGTAGATAGTTTGACCATTTCAGCAATGTCTGGAAGTCAAAATGACTTCGCTTGTGGCAGTCCTTACAAAAACTTGTGGAACGCTTAATGATGTAAGTATCATTTCAATTATTTTCAGCTTTACTTAAAGCAAAAATTAAGCATGCATATGAGGAAGGGGAGAATTCATGCGAAAAGAAGGAAATATGTATGAATCATAGATTAAAGCGAAATCTTTGTTCAGTTACAGTTGCAGAGCTTCCTGAGTGTAATTACTATTTCAGTTAGTGACTAAAATGAACGTGATGTCAGTGGAAAGGCAAACTTGGTTGCTTGCTTCTGGTAGACGAGCGCGTCCTTTTCCAGCTATGTGATTTAGTTCTTTCAAGCCCCTTTTTTTTCTGTTAGAAATGTAATAGTTTTTTACAACTTTGAGAATTTTCGGTAGCAATGTAGTATTTTTAGATTTAAAAGTGATGTTTCTGCAGCGTCTCAGTAATGCTTCTGTTCTCTGGCTTTGAAAAATAAAGTGGGATTTCATATCTATCTGTGCAAGAGAACAGGATTTATTTGTTTGCTAAACAGTAGCGTTAACAAGAGAAAACATTGCAATTAGTTGCAACAATTAATTTCCTTAAAAAATATTAGTTTTACATTACATCATTTTTGAAGTTAATCTCTTTTTCTAACTGCTGTGGAATTGTCCGACTACATAATATATTCGAATGACTCTTTCAATTATAATTTAAATCTTGTTTTTAATTGAATTGAGCCGTTAAAATTTGGCGCTGCTATCAATTTTCTCGTTCCTTTGCATTATATTTGCAGAAATTTTTTGAATAATTTTGTTAGCTTCGTATCATAACAGTGGATTTATTAGTGATGTCAAATTTGAAAAATCGGATGGCTATGCTGCTTCGGTTGTCTGTTAATTGTATGTACCCTGTTGTTGATAAGTGTACATTGTTATTTTTTAACATTTTTTGTTACAAAGTTTTGTTTCTAATTTCTCTGTTACTAATAAACTTTGATTTATTAATTAAATTACATGTGAAATGGAATCTGTAAAATCATGCTGCTAGGATTGTTAAAGTCTCCTATTTATTATTCTCAGATTGTCTTACTATAGATTTTGACCTTTAAGGATACCATAGTTTCTAGAGTGTTTCTAAAGAATTGCTAATAGTTCTTTCGGGGTATTCTATTTAATACTAGCATTTTATTCATGAATTTCTCAGCGGGTTTGAGAACATGTATGTTTTTGTCTGTCAAATAAAATGTAATCTTATTTTTCAGTTTTAATACCATAATTCCAGGGAGCAAATCAATGATGTCGCGGACTGCCTTTTTAAGATCTTGCTCTTCCACTTTACGAAATTCGTTAAGATACTTGCAAATGGGTAATTATGTTCCCGAAAAGGTGTTTGATTTAGAAGATTTGTTCTGAGTTATTATTCTTTATGCAGTCAACATATTGAAGAAAAGAAGAGGGAGTGAAAATAAACTGATGCAATGAGCCATCTTTTATGAACATAGTATTGAACATTTCAGAGATTTTGAAAAATTATTGATCAACTTAGTAATGCTTAAATCGTTTACTTAAGGGAATTTTTGGTGAGGAATTGCTGAAGCATCCATCCGGATTCAAATTACTGAATGAAAAAGTGAGGAAACGGTCCTTCGAATTGGTTGATAAAGTAAAAAACTTTTCCAATTATCGTTTGAAATTATATTCCCAGTATCGCTGAAGTATTTATTTCTTGTAGCAACTGTTTCTCTATTTGTTTAAAGCATTTTGGATGGGATTAAGGTGTTATAATGTTAATTATTATGTGATAGCTTGCCATCTTAATGTATTAATTTAATCGCTGGTACTGTTAGTCTTTTCTGAGTGTTTTTGAACCATGCTTTTGAAATAATAATTGCTTTTCTGAAAAACTTTTCCGTTGTTGATCGAAAAGTATTCTTATAGATCGTCAATCGAAAATGTGATAAAAAAGTTGTTGAAGTTTTTGATGATTTATCAAATGAAATATGTAGCGCTGCTGATTTGGTAAGTCTTGTTATTCACTTCGAAATTCGGTTTCTTCGTATCAAATTTAATTTATAAATAAAATTTTATAGTTGAGATACTGAGATATTGGTTGTATTCTTCTTTGATATGCAAAAGAATTTCGGTTGGTTGAGCTTGGTTTAGTTTACATCATGAATTTTATGCCATTTTTTTGAAATGCATTTATCTGTATGCAGAAATTTTTATAGATTGGTAGAGCATACAAATGCCTGCATGATTCACTGATATATATATATGCATAGTTGTTAAGAACAGGAACAGATGGAGAGTGAAATGAGTGAGAGTCATGTGTGGCAACATTGCTGGAGCAATAGTGAAAGGATTGACATAGACATATTAGTTTTATCACTATGAATTTGTTTCAGGCCGAATGCGTTCGAAATATGCATTCAATTAAAGAATTTAGTGCAGCAGCAGAAGAAAGCATGAAAGATTTCACTGAACTTGTGGAAAGGTATTACTTAATTCATTGCAGAAAGGTTAATTCTTTCCTATGTTTGGATTTTCTGAATCTTCTTTTCTCTAATCTGTTGCTTTAGATTATTATAGTTACAATTTCATATTTTCAGTTTAAATACCAGATCTGATTTGTATAAGGCATTGAAAGACTCATTAGAGGCAGAGAGTAGTTCTTTGACAGATATCGATAAACGCACTGCTATGTTATTCCTCGATGATTTTGAACAAGCTGGTGTCAATCTACCTCAAACTCAGGTAAGGAAGGATTTTAATACATGAAATTCCTTTGAAATCTATACTGTATTAGGTCACTTTGACTATGTAGTCATTTGATTTACATTTCTCTCAACTCTTTTATAGGATAAACTTTTCACGGAAGTTATATTCTTGATATGGATAGAGTGCTATGTTGATTCCTAGTTTTCCGTTATAATCGCAGCAAGGATTTCCAAAATACCGTAGAACTTACTCCAGATGACAAGATGATTTACACTGAAATATCGCTTTCTAAATAAATTCTTTTACATGATATATATATATATATATATATATATATAGTAATGAGTTAATAAATTCTGATTTAGAAGTGTGAATACGTAAGACTTAGCAAGGAGATTTTTATGGTTGGTTCAGAATTTACGCATGGTGCCGAATTACCTGTTATGGTTGCACCATTTTATAGTAAAATGTATAGAGTGAAGCGACATCTCTATAGTCCGAATGCACTTGCAGTTAGTCGGAGTACCAGGCAGTGGTCATATTCTACCTATTACTCATATAATGAGGAGCAAGTATGGTAATTCTCTCATTGCATTTGATCTTTTTCAACAAATAGTCGTTAATGTTAGTCTCAGGATAATACATCTCCTATAATTCATAATTGCATCATCCTAAGTCTTTTTGATTGATGACAACTCGACGTGACATGTTTTGACCCTTTTCATTTCATTTACCTTTTAACTGAATTCTTTGTAGTTTGAATTCCATGATTTGCATAATTCTTCATTTATGCGAAATGAAAATTTTTCAGGAGAAACGCTTACGCCACCTAATTACTTGTCGACATTTGTTGGCTCAGCTTACAGGATACCAATCCTATGCTCATCGTGCTCAACAGACTTCGTTGCTTGGTTCATATGAAAATGCTCACGACTTCTTGATTGAAGTCATTAAAGTAAATTTATCTTATCATATAAGATGCTTGCTTGAAAATCCATCATTGATAAAAGGAAATTGCTGAATGATATTTCAAGCGCATATTTATTGCTCGTGTGGCATTTTCTCAAAACATATGATGTATTTGTTTATCTGTTTAACTATATGCTATTTAACTTGCGCGTTAAATTGATTTGTTCCGTTTGTATTGCAGTCATGTCAACCAGCAGCCGAACAGGAATTAGCCGTATTGGCTGATGTTTTAGCTCAGGTAGAATCAAAGCGAGAGCATCTCTGTGAATCTGATTTAACATATCTTTGTATGCTGTATCGCGAGAATGCTTTTGGTCAGTTACAACATCTTTCCAGGTAATATAAAGTTTAAAAATGTTTGTCATTTTACTTATTGCTAACTATAATAGAGTAAAGTAGTCAAATAAATGAAAGAATTATCTTAAATTCATTAAATGATATAATGGAGCTATGCAAGCAATTTATTAGAATTATGTAAAACTTACATCCAGTAGTGTTTCACATTATTTTAAATGTTGTGCTATTTTTGATTTCAGGTATTTCTCGTTTAGCAATCTTCTAAAAGGGTTCGAATTGATTGCAAAACGATTGTACAATGTTTCTTTTTCATTTCTGACACCTATTGCTGGAGAAATTTGGCCAGGAAATATTATTAAGATTGTCAGTTTTTTATTCATCTATATGTTCATGTAGTAAAAGGTTTTTAATTTTAAAATTTATCTTCTTTTTTTTCCATCAACCGTGAAGGTATTTAGCCCACTTAAAAATTTAGTCCTCTGTTTGAGTTGGTTCTTTAGTAAAGAATTGTTTAACTTATTTACAAAGAGATATGAATTTCAGACTGTATTTTTGTTATTTTATAGAATGTTTTTCAAGACAAAAATGAGTTTTTGGGAACGATTTACATCGATATTCAAGACCGACAAACGAAAACAGCAGGAGACTGTCATTTTACTGTTCGTTGCTCCAAGCAGGTTTTCTTTTTCAACTAATTAAGTAGATGTAAATTTCTTCCTTATACTAATGTAATTCAACAATTTCTCATAATACGTGAAAGGCATTTCATAGGACATTTTCATTGATTACCATGACAAAGTAACCTAAAGTTTATTGGGATCGTAAACTTATTTCGGAAATTTTGGAAATTCATTATGCAACTTTACCCGACATGCAGACACTTTCTGAAAAACTCTGCATGATGATTGAACCTTTGCTATCATTTCATTCAAATGGTGTATGTTGTAGTTAGACGATGGTTCATATCAAACACCAATCGTTGTTTTATCATTGTCATTAACAAAAGGATTGGAAAGTATTGAAAATATTTTTTTGAGTCCTCATCAAGCTGAAAATTTTTTCCATGAAATGGGTCATGCGATGCATTCAATGCTTGCTCGCACTCAGTACCAACATGTGGCTGGTAATTTTATTTTCGTCACTTTCAATAGGATATTTAAATGAAATATGCAGGAACTGCTTTCTTTTTTATCTATAGATTTCAAACACACTTTAACTTCGACAGGAACTCGCTGTTCAACTGATATGGCAGAAGTTCCATCCAATTTAATGGAATATTTCTTCAATAACATTGATGTTTTACGCGAAATAGCGAAAGATAATCACGGACGTCCGATAAGCGTCGAAGATGCTGCTTCTCTCATAACATCACGATTCGCTTTCACATCACTGGAAATGCTACAACAGGTTTCTTACACTTGAAAGTTTTGTTAGAGCCTCGAAATTATAGCTAGTTTATATTTTAATTTTACTATTTCTCTTATTTCAGGCTGTATATAGTCTTTTTGATCTTGAAGCCCATGGTGGCAATGCTGAGGGTATAATGAATGGTCGAGTTTCAACAGCTGATCTGTATGCATCAATTTGGTCGGTAGTTTTTCCAAATGTTAAGAAGGAGACAAGTTCCGCTTGGCATCACCGGTAAATCTTCCGCTTTCAAATAAAAGTTTTTAGATTACAATGGAAAGGAGAAAGGTTTTGTAATTCACTACTATTTTCAGATTTGCACATTTGGTACCATATGGTGCAAAATACTATTCCTATTTAGTAGCAAGAGCTGCAGCTTCGTTGATTTGGAATACCAGATTTCGTGATTATCCATTTTCCAGGGAAAACGGCCTTGCGTGGGCAAAAGTATTGTTTGTTGAATTTTTCCATTTGTCTGAAAAATTTGCTAATTTATCTAACAATTCTAACAAATGATGATCACATAATATTGTAGTACGAATAGTATAATTTGATATGTTAAATCTCACTTTAAAGCTTGCTAGGTTATGATTAATTTTTTGGATATTTTACCTTTTTTATTTATCAAATTAATCAAAATGGCAAAAAATTACTGTTTTATTATTACTTTTTATAGGTGTTATCGAAAGGTGGCTCGTTACCCTCAGCTGATCTATTGAATTCGGCGCTTGGTTACTGGCCAACAGTGCAGAATTTAGCAACGGCACTGAAGGAGGAAGCTGACCAAACTTGCCAACGTTCAGCCGTCAGTGTATAAAGTAGTTTTTACAAATGTTGAATCGGTAAATAACTTTCATCAGGAAAAATGATATTTTGAGTAGCGCTGCTACATTCATCTCGTCATCATCCTTTAATTATTCACGCATGTTTTTTTGTTTTCTTTTTCTTCTTTTTTCGTCTCTTTCTTTTTTCACTCCAAATATATGGCTTTCACAGATTTCTGTATCAGTATGTAACCCATTTTTCAAAACGATTAACATCTGCATCTTGGCATGAAAATTTGTCTCATATATTCTTTTATGAGTTTTATTAAAGAAATTTACATCGAAATATTAACTTCTTTTGTTACCTAATTTGTTTTTTGTTTTTTTGATTTTTCTTTAGGAGATCCATCCTCTTATCTCTAATACAAATTATCTATTGATATAGTTCATTTTAACAACGTTATTTAATCCAACTTGTTATTTTTATCATCTGATCTTTGTGGACCAATATTCGCTATTGTCTTCATGGCTATTCGAATCTTCTGAAAATTGTTTCTGCCATACTTCGTCAATAATTGAGAAATTGCTATTTTTATTTTGTTGTGAAATATTTGATCTTAAGGGGAAAAAATTACATTTTTTTTTAAATAAAAAACTCCAAGGATACCGCACTTTTATCAATTTTGACTATTGTGTTTCTATTACACTTCGTCCTCCATTCCGCAATATCATCGTTTTCTGGTACCTTACATTCCACCGATCTTTTTATTAAATAATTTACAAGAATAATATTTTTTATCAATTTGCTAGTAATGATTCTATAAAGATGTTTCATTGTCTATTTGAAACATTCTGATTTTTTGCTTTGTTTCCTAAATGCTTTTCATTCAGGACTTTGGATCATAACAACAGTTCAGTTTACGTGTACAACCAAGTTTTTGGCCTGGCGAGCTGCAGTTTTTGATTTTCTGTCTAAAGCATTTTTTACTTTGTGCACTTTTTATACTGCAGTCTTACATAGTGATGTCGATTTTAAGGATTTTCTGTTTTTGAAAATTTTCAAGATGCTCAAGTTTTCAACCACGAATTCATTGCTTATTTATTTTAGTTTTTCTTTTTAGATGAAATTTGAGGAAGTAAAAATAACAATGTTCAATTTTAATATTCAGTGTTGGGGTCAATTTTGTCTTGTACAAGTTTTGAATTTGCATTTAAATAAGTCCAATGTTTATGATAGATAATTTGTTGAAATGCAAATGAGAGTACAAGGAATGATTCATTTCCATTTTGTTACTGTCTCATATTATGTTGTTGTTTCTTTTTTTTTTAAATTTATTCTGACGAGTTGTGTTCATATTTGAATATATTACACCTGTGAAATTGCCTTGTTAGATTTGTCTTACGTCATTCAGTTGCGAGTTCCACGTATAGATCAATATAAAGCTTTATGAATTATAAAAAGTTCAAAATGCTAAGTCTTCGAACGTTGCATTATTGGGTATTATTAATTGATAATATTATTTCCATATGGTTGAGTCTGTTTCCTTCATTCTTTTTTTATTTGTTTTTCTAAAACTTGAGTAAATTTTTTGTTTTAATTCTTTTACTCTATCTGGCTTTACTTATCATCATCATTTTCTTCTATTCTTCAGTTGTACTCATGAACAGTCCGCATTATTTGTTTACTTTTTTTTTTGTATTTTGGAAAAAAAAAACAAGTTTCATTCATGACATCATCAATTGGGACATCAATGACATTGTCAGATTGATTCATAGTAAGTAGTAAATTTTTTTACCAATAGTAACATTTGATGGAATTTTTTTTCTTTTTTTCACTGGAGGTTTAATTTTTCGTTCCGCAGAATGTCTTTATGCGTCATCACATTTAAGCTTAATGGTAATTAATTCATAAACATACGGAATTCATTCTTAAGTTTATTCTCTCAGTATCTAGCAAGTATACTACAAAATGAATCTAAAATACTCCAAAAAAAAAAAGAAGATAATTTTATTCAATATATGCATAATAAGAGCGCATTTATGTTTATAGCAATTAAATTTGCCAATGTAATTGCAATATATAAATATAAAACCCAACTTTTCCATACATTGCACTAGTCTTACCTTATCTTCCTACACTTACTTATGATTTTGCAGTATTCATTTCCATTAGATTAGCTTAGAAGCAGATAAAGTATATAATTTGATAAAAAGATTTTCGCGTATTTTATTATTAGAAAGTAATATATAAGTTATATAGTTATTGAAACAATATCAAATTATGTAATTTATGCGACGTTTAATATTTCAAATTGTTTAATAAGCAAATCCTTAGTAATATATTAATAATTAAAAAACTTAAAGCTATTTCGTTTAGTCCATTTGGCTCATTATGCTAGTTGACTATTTTTCAGTATATAAACAAACAGTTTGCTTCAATCATTTGAAGTAAATGTTCAGATTTAATTAGGTTAGTTTGTTGATTTATTGACTGCTTAAACTGTTTATTGATTAATTTGTCAACTGTTTGTAAAAAAGAGAAAAGAAAGGGAGAGAGAGAGAGAGAGAGAGGGAGAGAGAGCATTTGTCATCCTTTTATTCTTATATACTAAATTTAATATTACCACTGCTAAAAACAATGAAAATTTGTGATTTCTTCCAGAAATTTTTTTTTTAAAGGAATAATGAATAATTGAAATGACAAAAGAGTTAGCTTTATATGAAATTCATTAGCAATAATTATGCAATAAATGGGATTGCAAATAATGAATAATAATAAAAAATGATTATTTTCGATTTATTTTGTATGGAACTTTTGGACAAGAGCAATAGTATACATCTGGTCCTGGAATACCTGGTGCACCTACCTGAAATTAATAATTTAGTTCAATTTTTTTTCTTTCAACTTTTCATATTTATTGCTCTTCTGTTAAAATGCTACTGTTAACATTAACTTTTTACAGTCATTTGTAATAACTTTTCAAATTGATAAAATGAGTGAAAAAATTTTATTCAAGATCGCTTACCTGTCCTGAACGTCCATTTTTCCCAGGTTTACCATCATTACCAGGTCGACCAGTTTCACCTGGTTCTCCAGGTACACCATCCATTCCACGTTTCCCTTTTATTCCTGGCTGTCCAATTGGACCAGGTTTACCAATTTGTCCTTTTGCGCCTGCTATCCTGATGCTCTTTTTCCCATCACATCCATTCATTCCAGGTTTACCTGGAGGTCCATTAATTCCTGGTTCTCCTATATTACCGGGTGGTCCACGTGCTCCTCTCGGTCCGGACTTTCCTGGTTTTCCCACCGGTCCGTTCTGTCCGTTTGGTCCTTGATCGCCCATGAGTCCATTGGGTCCTGGCAATCCAGGAGATCCAGGAGGACAAATGATACAGCCATCCGGAATATTATACATGGCAAGAAGCGCTACACCGGCTACTCCCTGAGAACCATCATTTCCAGGCTCTCCATCTAAACCATTTTCTCCTTTATCCCCCATTGGACCTGGTGGACCTTTTGGACAGTTCTTTGGCCCATTAGAGCCTGAAATGTTGACAATACGATTGACTTATATGCAAGCTTACAGAATTCCAAGCAAACAAAAGCAGAAAAACTATACAGCATTTGTTAAATTGTCGTTTCATTCTTGTCTGAAAACTATTACTGATACTACGGATGAAAAAAGTTTTTCCGGTTGATTGGGAATGAAATTGTACAATTTTCGTCCATGCATCATCCACTAACGCCTAAAAAGAGAATAATAAAATTCTTTTTTTTTTTTTTTTGCTGTGACATGCAATCGTTCAATTATTTGAATATCACAAACTTATTTTTTTTTTAATTTTCATTCTATGGACAAAAAAAAAAAAAATTGGATTCTCTATAAAAGATTATCAAAAATATGAATCATAGGTTTATAAAAGAGCAATATTCTTTTATTTTCTATTTGGTATTTTTTTTTTCAAATTATTTAAAAAAAAAAAATTGCTCACTCATTCTTGATACTATTATCTCTTTTTTTCCTTGAAAGAACTGAATTAATCCATTTCAATTCTAATCCTTGTTTTCCTGATTTTTTTTTTCATTTCCAGCAAAAATAAATACCATAAAGCATCATAATTACATTAAATTCTTTCATTTCGCCGATAATATCATCGTATAAATTATTTATATCATTGAAAATCACACCAACTACTATCAGTGATACTGTTATCACACTGATACTGATGCCAATTGCAAATTTAACAGCTATACGAATATTCATTTGCCTGAAATTTGTTAGCAAAAAAAAAAACAATTTCTTTTCTTTTACCATCTTCAAATTTTTATAGCATCAATCAATCGAAACGAAAGAAAAAAGAAAAAGAAGAAAAAATGATATTCAATAGATTGATGACATCCGGAATATTGGTTGACACTACTACTTTTTCTTCTTTTCCCATAAAAGCTGACCTGGACATATCATCATCCGTATGCGAAAGTGAAATAGTTGAACCTGAACCTGAGCGGAATATATTCTCGTAAGCATGAAGCAACCTGATAATATCATTTATTCCGGTCAGCTAGTAAGATACGATTTAGTCTAAATCAACAATAACCTAACTAATATAAAATAATTTCAAATAAATTTGGCAAATGTTAATTTTATCTAAATTAGCGCGCATATGTCCATGCTTTGATGAAATGAAGCGAAATTTTCAAAAAAAAAAAAAGAAAAATTTTCACATTTTATATTCTTTCGATTTTTTGCTTTCTTTTTTTTTTTTTGTTTTGTTTTGTTCAATAGGTAAAAATAAAAATGAAATGCTAATAAATTAAGATAAATATGCTGCTAGGTTAGACGTAAAGAACTATCAAAAATTAGTAATTAAATTCAAATGAATGGAATTATGATGAAAATTTGAAATGATAAATTTTAATTTTAAACCAAATATTCAAAATGTATCTATTTGCTTATTAATCGATTTAAAAAGTCAAATATGAAAATTTTCATTATTAAATATAAGTCAAAAAAAGCAAATATAAGCTAAAAGTAAAAGTTTTGAGAAGTTTGAAGCAAATATTATTTCACATAAATTCGTTTTTTTTTTTTTTTTTTTCAAATAAACAAATTTTACTGGGATGGAAATGAGATTGAAATGTAAATTTTGGAGGTTTAAATTATTCTCTAATTCATATTGATATCATTGCTGATAAGTATAACTTTATCTTTAAGTTAAAAAAAAAAAAGAAAAAAATTATCAAAAGATAAATAAAAAAATTTTAATTCGTACATTAACGAATGAATGTTTATTTTTTCCTTCGGCATTTTTAAATGGGTAAGCAACAATAGTAGCAGTTGTTTATATCGGGTAAATTAGGAATGCAAAATGCTTCTCAATTGTAGTTTTTGATTTTTATCGCTTAATTTTATCTCATAGAGAAAAAAAATTTTTTTCGAAAAAAAAAAATAGAAAAGAATTTATCATTTTAAAATTTTTAAATTATCGCTACAATTTTGTATGAAAATTATAGATAAAATCTTATTTTCGTTTTTTTGTGATTTCCAATTCTCAGCTTATTTTATTTGTGTTTATTTATGTTTATTTTAATTTTAAAGCAAAATTTTTTCTACTCATCAATACAGTTTTCTTTTTATTATAAGCATTACTTATTTTATCATCTAATTAGCTATCATTTTTGATTTAAATTAAAGTTTTTATTTAATTATCAGTAATTTACAATTTCAAATGATTAAATTGTCGTTGAGAAAATACTATGCTTATTAAAATGAATTAAAATAGCTAAAAATATTAATGAGTCTAATATAATCATCATTAATTATTACAAATTAATTATTACATCAATCATCAATTTTGCAATTCAAAAAATAATTTAAAAAAAATCATTAAAAAAACATATCATTAAAAAAACAAAAAAAAAAACCATAATTAACAAATATGAGAGACACTGACATGAACGAATTTATCTTAAATAAAAAATTATCAAATTAAAATTTGATTAATTATAATTTTTTTTCTTTTTCTTTCTTTGTCTCTTTGAATCTATCAAAATGAAATTATTTTATACAACGAATTATTATTTTATAAGTCAAAATAATATTTAGTATTAAAAAATTTGATATTTTGATAAAATAAAGGAGAAATATGAAAAAGAATGATGACCAAAACAGAATTTCATTGTAATTTGATGGTAGTATGATTGTATTACTGACGATTGCAATATGAGAAAGTATCATTCATTTCTTAAAAAAATTTTTTACACATTTCATTTTTTTTAAGAAAAAAAAAAAGAAAAAAACTTAAAGGATACGATTAGATGAAAATTTAAAGTTGGAAAATGAATGTTTTTCTGGTTTCGAATTATTTTTTGTTCTAATTGAAAAAAAACAACTTGTACAATAGTGATAGTAAATTGTCGGCATGTTTAAAGCTTTGTAGGAATATACTAAAATTAAACCAGTTATTCTCATAATTAATTAACATAATTAAAAAATCATGATTAATTTCTCAAATGTAATCATATCTTTAAGATTTTTCAAATCTATTTTTACTGTGCTTAAATTTTTGATTTGATCAATTTTTAATTAACACTAATATCAATAAGGAAAATGTTGTAAGACTGTTAAGCAAATGAATGAGATAATAGTTTAAAAATACTAAAAAAAAAAAAAAATTTTATTTTATGAATCAATGTAAATTGTTCGTAAAACTAGTTTTAAATCAATGAAACATTACGATGATAAAAAACTGTTAATAAAAAATGATGATAAAAAATTTTGTTACAGAATGGATTTGGATCATTTTAAAATCATAATTTTTTCATCTTATCATTTTCAATTCTCTTTTTCCTTTTCCTGTTTTCTGTAAAAAAAAAAAAAAAAAAAAAAAAAAATTTTTAACAACAAAGACAATTAATTTATTTTTCTTTCTATTTAGACTATTTTTAAATGACAAAAATTTCTAAATTTAAATTTAAATTTGAACATACAAAAATTATACTTTTTGTCAAAATTAAGTATTTTGAAATTTTACCTCTCTAATTTGCAGTGATAAAAATGTACCTTTAACGAAAATTTTTCATGAATTTCGCTCAGCTATGGCAGATAAAAATTCATTGTAGCGATTTTGTTTATTAGATCAATTTCACTTTATGATAAATAATTATCACTTTATTAGATCAATTTCACTTTATGATAAATAATTATCACTTTATTAGATCAGTTTCACTTTATGATAAATAATTATCACAAAGTAATAATCTTTAAAAGATTAAAATCATATTTATCATTTTTAAAAAACTCAAAATATTTAATTAAAATAGAAATGCATTTCATATTTTTATTTATATAAATTTGTTGAGATCACTAGATCACCTAGAAAAAATGCATTCATTGTTCATAGCTATATTTCAAATAAAAGTTTGTCACAATTTTAAATTGAAAATTTAAAGTAAGAGGAGGAAATGAAAAAGGAAAATAAGTTCTATTTTATCATAAAAGTTAAATTATTCAATTTGTGGAATAAAATACAAAAAATTTGGGATAATTTTGAAAAATCCATCTATCACTACCTGAACATTTTACCTGAATAGAATAGAATACAAAATGAAAACTTTTTTTTTATAATTCTTACTAATATTATAGCAAAAAAGAAAAAAAATACATAATTCCTCTAAATTTTCATAATTTATAATTTTTATTTTATCAAATAATTTTTTGCAAAAAAAAAAGAAATGAAAAAAAGGATTACAAAATTGTGACATTGAAGTAAAATAGAAAAAATAGCTTATTGACATAAATTTTTGTACTATCATAAAATTATCATATGATAAGCAGTGATGATATCATATCAGCTGAGGAAAATTAATTTCATTGTACATTTTAAATTTGTTTCAATTTAATTTTTTTTTGCGTACAAAGCAAATGTTAGAAAAATAAAGTGTAAATATTGTTGCAATTTTGAAATTACGCATATTTTGCAAGAATGTATTGCTATGGTCATTTAAATGACCAATTTACATTGACCATTAATTATTAAATTCCTAATGACCAATCGGAATTTAGAAGAAAATCCCGTTATCATGATATATCATTCTTATCTTCTAAAAATATATCGTCAAATCCTGTTATCAATGTTTTATGCTATGCGAAAGACATATCACTGATAAACTTGCTTTGTTTTAATTTTTTATTTTATTTTATTTTTATTTTTGTTTCAGTTTTACAAATTCCATACAAACATTCCGGTAGGAGTGGAAAGATTAATTAGTGATAGTGATAGTCCTGATAATTAAACCTGATTTATCTGATCATCAACTCACCTGAACCGACGAATAAGATATTTAATTGCATGAAATATTCATGCAAGTATTAGATTGCATGTAAGTTTATTCTAGTTGAGAATTACTATAGCCATTTATGATTAGGTTAATTAAATGCTAATCACTATGATTATCATTTTCTGTATTCATATGATTTCTAGAGAGATATCAGTAATCATGATTACTGATTTTACAAGCTGTATCACTTCATTTCACATATCAGTAATGGAAAAGATTAAAGAGCAAAAAGTAAATTATTCTTTTTCTTCTGTTTGCTAAAAAATAAAATTTCACTATCATTTTATTTTTCCATTTGCAAAATTTCAATTTCTGGTACACAGTCATGCTCGTCATCAATCGTTTCTGGAAACAGGAACTGAAAATTTCAAATCCTTTACTAAGAATTATTTAAATTCATTTATTTGCAACAGGCATAAATCAGATGCCAAGATGAATCATAATCAATTATCATCATCATAGTTTCGAACTATCTAAAAAGCAATCTGCCAGGTAATTAATTAATTGGGAAATGCTTCAATAATGAAAGTAGGAAAATTTTTTATATAGTCTGGCATTTTTCTCTATAACAAAGCATTAGTGATATATCACAAAGGTTATCATCATGTTATCATCATCAACACCAACAGCCAATATCATTATCATTTTTTTTTTTATCATCATCACATGAAGGTAGCACCAATAATGACAGAAGAGTGATAAGAGTGATATATTTGCCAAATAATTTCAACTTATGATCGAGCAGCATATTTTCCATGTCGTGGGCATGGACAGTAATGAGCATCTGGTCCTGGCATACCTGTGCTACCTGGCTGAAATGTTTTTTTTTTTTAATTATTATCGGTTATTTCTAATTTTATATGAATAATTATAATTTTTTATTTCAATAATTACCGTTCCAGTTTTGCCATCTTTGCCAGATTT